ACACTGGCAAGATACCTCCACACACACTGGCAACATACCTCCACACACAATGGCAACATACCTCCACCCACACTGGCAAGATACCTTCACACACACTGGCAACATACCTCCACACGCATTGGCAAGATACCTCCACACACAATGGCAACATACCTCCACACACACTGGCAACATACCTCCACCCACACTGGCAACATACCTCCACACACACTGGCAACATACCTCCACACACACTGGCAACATACCTTCACACACACTGGCAACATACCTCCACACACAATGGCAACATACCTCCACACAATGGCAACATACCTCCACACACTGGCAACATACCTCCACACACTGGCAACATACCTCCACACACACTGGCAACATACCTCCACACACACTGGCAACATACCTCCACACACAATGGCAACATACCTCCACACACTGGCAACATACCTCCACACACACTGGCAACATACCTCCACACACACTGGCAACATACCTCCACACACACTGGCAAGATACCTCCACACACACTGGCAACATACCTCCACACACACTGGCAACATACCTTCACACACACTGGCAACATATCTCCACACACAATGGCAACATACCTCCACACACTGGCAACATACCTCCACACACTGGCAACATACCTCCACACACTGGCAACATACCTCCACACACACTGGCAACATACCTCCACACACACTGGCAACATACCTCCACACACAACGGCAACATACCTCCACACACTGGCAACATACCTCCACACACACTGGCAACATACCTCCACACACACTGGCAACATACCTCCACACACACTGGCAAGATACCTCCACACACACTGGCAACATACCTCCACACACACTGGCAACATACCTCCACACACACTGGCAACATATCTCCACACACACTGGCAACATACCTCCACACACACTGTCAACATACCTTCACACACACTGGCAACATACCTTCACACACACTGGCAACATACCTCCACACACAATGCAACATACCTCCACACACAATGGCAACATACCTCCACACACTGGCAACATACCTCCAAACACTGGCAACATACCTTCACACACTGGCAACATACCTCCACACACACTGTCAACATACCTCCACACACTGGCAACATACCTCCACACACACTGGCAACATACCTCCACACACACTGGCAACATACCTCCACACACAATGGCAACATACCTCCACACACTGGCAACATACCTCCACACACACTGGCAACATACCTCCACACACACTGGCAACATACCTCCACACACACTGGCAAGATACCTCCACACACACTGGCAACATACCTCCACACACACTGGCAACATACCTCCACACACACTGGCAAGATACCTCCACACACACTGGCAACATACCTCCACACACACTGGCAACATACCTCCACACACACTGGCAACATATCTCCACCCACACTGGCAACATACCTCCACACACACTGGCAACATACCACCACACACACTGGCAACATACCTTCACACACACTGGCAACATACCTCCACACACAATGGCAACATACCTCCACACACTGGCAACATACCTCCACACATTGGCGACATACCTCCAAACACTGGCAACATACCTTCATACACACTGGCAACATACCTCCACACACACTGGCAACATACCTCCACACACACTGTCAACATACCTCCACACACACTCTCAACACACCTCCACACACACTGGCAAAATACCTCCACACACCTGTCTGAACTGGCTTATTGTTCCAATATTCCGATCCTGTTTTATGAGTTCATTCTTATTATTATGCCCTTGATGAAATAAATCATTTTTTTGACGAACTAATTATAAGATTCCATAGCCTAGCTACGTCAGATATAGGGCGAGGTATGAATTTTCGCTAAGGTGAACCGATTTTACGTTTGTACAAAATGTTGATCTGACTGACAATTCTTTTTCAAAAAGTTTTGATAACAGAAACAACGACGTTAAACGACCTCCAAAGATTGACTACTTATAGCTTGGGTCAGAAACTTGCTCTTTTCAAAATAATGCAGTCCAAAATGTTTATTTATGATATTTTCAGATGATTTAGTCATCAGAATTATTTTCCTGATTTCCAGTACAAAGGCATACATATGAGAAAACATTTGGGTACTTGAGAGTAATTTATATATGGTACGATAATATATCGAAATACGACCGACATACAAAGGGACGTAACTTTTGTTGACTTGTCCGAATGTCGTCAGGTCGTCATTATAACTAAATACGTATAGGCTAACATGTGGATTATATGTCCCGAGTGAAATTTAGTCTCCAATGTAGAAGAATATGACAGGGGAAACCCCAAGTGAAACAGAGATTTCTTTGGTTTGAATAGTGTGTCCCCAGGGGATACACAAAACCACTTGTTTGTTGGATATGCTGAATTTTAAATAATAGTTTGGTGCAATCCTTTCACAGCAAAAACAATGCGCGTTTGGAAGTAGTGACCGAGAAAATATCTTGCCCGCAACATAAATTCCAGGAGAATTTAGGATTCGAACCCGTGATCAAAGGCACGCCAATTCCGGCGAATTGGACGACTGCTTCATCCGTGCTCCTTCATGTCACAGTAACTAGGTATGGTATGTCATAGTAACTTGGTGTGGAATACATGTAGAACGGTAGTCTAGATGTGTATGCGTCACACACTGTGTTCAGTTTGACAGTTCGCTATCAGCAAGGTGTCAACTACAATTCACGCCTGCGACCTCTGTCGGCGAGAACTCCGACCGACATTTAAAATTTAATTCGAAAACATTTTGAAATTATTTGCACGAATTGTCATGTAATTTATAATAAAAAGGAGCCCTAAGGCTCTGTCAATGAAAACTAGACTTGTATGGTATATTTTATATATAATTGTGCTCCCCTCTTTGCTGGTCTTTAAGCATATTAATCGGTATGTCATCTCAGATTGGCCAACTTAAGACACGGGAATCTGACCAAGATGTTCAGCTTCAGGTATATCCATTATCTGACATCGTTTAATAATGGTCAAATAGCCAATTCCATTCCACTGATTACCCACCTGAACAAGAAACAAAGGAGGCCAGTGAGACCGCCTCGTCTCTTTCATATTTACATCTATGCATAGACTGTATGACAAAAGGGACGACTTCAACTTTCCAATGGTCAACTTTCCCTATATTCCAGCAGCTCCCGCCTTTGGTGTTCACATTTCACAACTTTTGAGGTGTGCCCGTCATCCGACTCATGCTCAAAGTTTGTCAGATCAAGTCTACAGCATTAAAGGCCTGAGTGAAGCTTTCGGAACGCTTCATGGTAGACATGTGGAGGACATTTCAAAATTTGACGAAACAGTGACGAAAATTATGCCCAATACAAACTTCCCTGTTTTGACTTGTACCATATGTTCTCGTGTTTATTCAGAGGAACAATTGGCTTACCTTTGCATGTGTTTGTGACGGTGCCACTGGTGGGGAATGACACGTTCACCTTTTCGCGAACACCTGGTATCATCGCTAAGTGATAGCGGTTCATAGACACATGCTCATGATATAGTCGGAATCGTACAATCTACTCTGCATTTAGCAGAATTTTCTTACAAATATGGAAAGGGTCGCTTTTGTTTATAGTCCGTCAACCTAACTTTAGACACCGTTTTTTTTCAATTATCTTCAAATGAATTCAAATTCATGTAATCATAAAGTGGTCCCTAAAGTCCCCATGCTGGTCTTACAAGCCGACTTTGATGATCTGGTGTTTGCAATATGTGACCTTGCAGATTGTGTGTCCTCGTGTCCCGAACAGCGTGAATCGTTTCTCATGCAGTCATCCATTGGTTTGCTTCGTCAAGACTCGAACGTCCCCAGGCCGTTGCGATGCCGTGGTGTGTCCAGCCCCATAATGACGACTCAAGCCACACATCAAAGAACCAACACTCACCAAGTCTCATCTTGAACTTTGCGCATGCAATGTAATAAAAGGAAGTAATTACTCATTTTATAAGTACTGTAACAAATGTTCGCTTACACACATCGTAAATTGAATAATAGATTTCCTGACATGTCATCCCCTTCTGCGATATGACACCGCGTATAACACACATCGTCACAACCAGAGAGGATTACATTCGGAAGTTGGAAGTGGCCTCATCCTGTCTAGTCACTCAACCTCCCCCCCCCCCCCACACACACACACACACACTCTTCTGCTGATGTATTGTGTTATCGCTCAACACCAACAGAGTGTCATGGTTAAATCAGTCACGTATATGTGTTTATACAATACTAGTGTGCGCTCAACGAACGGGCTTGGTGGTAGCAGTCCTCCAGTGAAATATTTCAGTGTAAGTACAAGCACTACGTTTCAACTAGTGTTAAATCGTGTATTAATTTCGATTTATAAGTACTATGGCTTCAATCGAATGCATTATTTATTGATTTTTTGGTAAGAAAGCCTTTTCATATACAGTATAACATAAAACGAACTCTAAGGGACTGTGGACATGAGTTCCTTAATTTGCGAAACATTATCCATCACTTTGGACTCACCGCTATTCATGGACAGTATATATTTCATTCATGGTGTTGATGTTTGAAACGTATTTGTACTCAAAGTCGTTAACCATGATTGTTCTTGTCCTTAGTTCATCCCCTTGATGCCGAGCGCTAGGCAGGGTAACAACAATTACCTTATTTTAACGTCTTTGGTGTGACGCTATCAAGGGATCGAACCAACGACCTTTCCCTGTCCGGTTAGACGCTAGACCAAGGAGGCGGTCGGTCAGGAACGTGTGACATACCTCGCCGGGATGAACTTCATGTCTGCCATTGATTGTTTTGGTAATATATATTGATCATTACCCCAAGTGACGTAAAATATATAAAATCAAATTTAGGATAAGTTGTTTCCTTCAGTGGATGGTCAGCTGCGTGGTGGCCTGTATTAAACCTATTAAAATGAAACATTCATGTTTGTTTATTTTTATTCAGTTCGTCTAAGGATTCTCTTGAAAGGATGGACAACGTAAGTTTCCATGAAGACCATGACCTTCACCTTCATCGCCATGACAACGAGTTCGCCCTGCAGGTCCTAGCCGCCATCTTGTTCCTTGTCGTTTTGATGTTGACTGGGTTGCTTGGCAACACACTTGTCGTCTACGTGTACACTCTCAAGTTTAAACATAGCACCACCCGTTGCTATATCTTGGCCCTGGCAATATTCGACCTTGTTAGTTGTGCCATCAGTATTCCAGTAGAGATAGCGGACATGCGTTTCAATTACACGTTTGGACAATATGGAGTTTGTAAAATAATGCGAGTGTTCGTAACGTTCTCATCCATGTCGTCAGGAGCGGTGCTCGTTGCTGTAGCGGTGGACAGATACAAGAAAATATGTCGGCCATTTCGAGGACAGACAACACCGTTTGTAGCTAAAGTCGCAATAACCATTTGCTCGCTCTCATCTTTTCTGTTGTCCTTGCCGGCTGCCATTCTTTATGGTTCAAGAACTGTGACTACAGACGATGTTCGCATTAACGGTTCAGACTGCTCTACGGCGGACGAATACATCAAGACACCCTATCCTCTGATCTACAACGGAGTCCAGTTTTTCGTATTCATTTCCTCAACTCTGAGTCTTATTGTGCTTTACAGTTTAATATGGCGGCAGGTGGCCAGGCAACGGTCTTTCAGGAGAAGCGTTAGGGCTGAGCAAAACCATGGAAGAACATTGAGAATAGTGGTAACGCATGGGGACCAACCATCAGAGACGAATAACACATCTGATGATTTTCTAAGCTCATCAACCGAAGGAGATGCGAACAAGGCAGCAAATGATGAAAGCAGTTCTCGAAACATTATTACCGCTGTAGAACTTACAATCAATCCTCATAAAGAAGAGGGTTGTGGACGTTCAAGTGTTACGACACCCAACTCAAACAAACTGTCTGTTGGGTCTCAGTCCAAAATACGACACAACAGAACACAGCCTTCTTCCGTCAGCACATCGTCACAGCGTCCAAGAGGTCAGAAGACGACCTTCATGCTGTTCCTTATCACCCTGGTGTTTGTGCTGAGTTTCCTCCCGCATCTTGGTCTGATGGCAACCAGGGCTGTCAACAAACACGTGTTTGACCACCTTCAAGGAGCTGCGATGACTGCTTACAATCTGTTCCTGAGGTCGTATTTTATAAACAGTGCCTCTAATCCCATCATCTACAGCTTCTGTAATGAACATTTCCGTCGGGAACTGAACCACCTTTGGAGCAAACTGAAGTGCCGAGCTTAAGATAAGTTTTATTATGAATGTTTATTAACGCTTGTATAAAATTTGCCTTGGAGATAATGTAACGAGATGTGTTGCCATACATCTAACTGACTTAATATGATTGGATGTTTGTTGTTTTACGCCGCACTCAGCAATATTCCAGTTATGGCGGTCTGTAAATAATCGAGTCTGGACCAGACATGCCAGTGATTGACATCATGAACATCGATCTCCGCAACTGGGATATGATGATATGCATCAACCAAGTCAGCGAGCCTGACCACCCGATCCCATTGGTCGCCACCTACGACAAGAATAGTGGCCTTTCACGGCAAGCATGGGTTGCTGAAGACCTATTCTACCCTGTTGTATTATGAATGTTGTATTACACTCTTAGACACCATGGTGATACTGCAGCGAGATATGTTACCATGCAGCTACGCTGACTTAAGAGGAGTAAGTAAATATTCCTTGTAAAAATGTGGTTTCAGCATTTTGTAATAGAAACATTAGGTCAGTAAATATGCAGAATACGCTCACCTTTTTCGTGATCACAGGGCATGATCACTATTTGATAATGATATCGTCGGAATCGTACAATCGACTCTGATTTTGTAAGATAATTTTTATGAATATGGAAATGGTTTTGTCGCTTTTATTTATATATCTTATAGCCATTTGTTTTGTGCATGGATTTATAATATTTAAGCTATTGCGTTTTGGGGTTTGTCCTATTCATAAAATCAATTTTCGTATAACATTGAGGAGCAAAGAAAACTAACCTCTAATTAGATTTTATCATATGCTTGATTTTTGATAGAATATATCTTAAGTTATATGAAAAATGAATTGTAGTGGCGCTTGGTCAGCACTTAAAATGAATTCTTAGAAAAAACTCTCACATACTTTCACATAATTTAATTTCTGTGAATAAAAGTTGTTTTAAAATTTAAAAAAAGAAGAAGAAATAATTGTTCGCACAAAACACAACGGCTGATGGGTATCTTTGGCATCTTATCTTTGAAAACGAATAAACTTGCATTTTTCGACACATATTTACAACATTCCAAACATGGTATGGGGTATGTGGTTGCAAATTTCATACCCCAGTTTTTTACACAAACTTTACAAACTGTTGCAGCAATGAATGATAGTAAATAGACAATCAAATTTAACAACAGTATAACAACCGGTATACTTTCTTTTGCGCCTCAGTTTTTGACGTCAGTTGCATGACTGTGATTTGTTTCCTAAATGTTTATTTCTGTTAGCTCTTTAACTGTTTACTTGTGTCAGCTGCACACTATGTAACTGTTTACTTGTGTCAGCTGAACACGATGTTACTGTTTACTCGTGTCGGCTGCACACGATGTTACTGTTTACTCGTGTCAGCTTCACACGATGTTACTGTTTACTCGTGTCGGCTGCACACGATGTTACTGTTTACTCGTGTCAGCTTCACACAATGTTACTGTTTACTCGTGTCAGCTTCACACTATGTTACTGTTTACTCGTGTCGGTTACATTCATTTTACTGTTTGATAAATTTGTTCAAATGTGTCGTTATAGTCTGTATTAGTTGCCAAATTAGCAAACTCCCGTTGTATTTGTGATTTCTTTATTTTTTATTAAATTAAATAACAGTATAATGTATACTTATTGTCAGTTGTAAATGAAGTAAAACGCAGTTTCCGCTATGTATCTATGTGTTTCTACGAATTATAACATCGCGCCAAGTTTTCTACTGGAAGACAAAGACTTCTTTCACAACGTATCGCTCAAATGGTGCTATATCCAAAAACGATTTCCCCAATATAACACATTAAAATTTCAGTGTTCTCAAATCCGGAAATGAGATTGTCATCTTGGATAAGGAACGGATGGACCCAATCGTATAAAGCCCGACAAATGGCTGTGCAGAGTTGCTTTCCCTTGGCAAGTTAGACACTGATGGGCGTGGGATTGAATCGCTGATAATGTTTCTAGGTTTGTCAGCTCGTTGCTCGTGGGTTTCATCAAAGTGATAAACGCATAAAACCTGCATCATTTCGGGCTAAGATCCCACATCAGGGTGACAAGCCATCATAGAACTGGAATACTTTTCAAAGCTGAGTGAAACGAAACCCAAACCACTCAGTAACTACAACTACGAGTTGCGGCACATGACAAGACAGGGACAAGAAAGACTTCGTTTTCTTAGAATGACCTACAGGTTACCACGGTACATTTTGCATTACGTATGTAGTGTAAACAATGTGAGCCCGTGAAGATCCGGGTTAGAATAGGACAATATATGTCCAGCGACGTCATGCGCCGGCGACAATATGTGCCGTCGTACATGCAGCAACATGGCCGCCGTCATATAGACTGAACACCTCTGTGGCGAAGACAACAAACCAGCGAAGAAAGAACGACAAATATTTCATGGTATACATACTTGAATAATACTCACAATGCTGTTCTCGTGAGCAGTTGAGCAATTTTAACTACAAATACACACACATTCAATCCCGGTTCTCAAAGGCCCTGAGACATGTGAGAAGTTTTAACACTCCAGTCAGCAATAGTGTTCAGGCAGCCTGAACATAATCGAGTCTGGACCAGACAAACACGTTGTTTGCATTACCGACGCTGCATGATACGATAGCACACAATCAGTCGGGTCACATACTGTAACCACTAGACGTCTACGACATGGGGTATTGAGGACCTGGTCTGCCCTGGAAACAGAAAGTGACACAGGCCTCAAGACACCCTTATCACACTACATTATCGGTAGGGACCGACCCCCGACCTCACTAATGTGTGTTTGGGAGAAAAAGAATTGTATGTTTGAAAATCCTTCCAAAAATGGGATGGCTGCTTGTACTAGTCCGGACTTATACTGGTTTTATTGTGCTAGTCCTCTGAGATACCATACGGCAGTTCAACATGGATACCCCACTCAGACAAAGTATACTGACTCCGAGCCGACCAGTCCTTGTTCTATCCCCTTAATGTTGTGAATTGTTTGATAGGCATTACTTAGAAGTTGACGGATGACAAGGTAGACACAATTTTATGGATAACAACTTCTTTAATACTAAGAAATGTCCCTCATTCAGTCTTGCTTGACAACGGTATAAGGATCTATACCGGAACGTATTAAAGAAGTTGTTATCCATAAAATTGTGTCTACCTGAATGTTGTGATCAAAACAGGGCAACAACAAGTATCGTCTTTTAACGTATTTTGGTGTGACGCTGCCGGCGAACGAACTACCGACCATCCGCTCTCCGGGCAGGTATCATGTGATCTGTCCCTTACCTTACTTCGAGCAGGATGAGTGTAAAGCGAGAAGTTGAAACATCCAACACACATATGCTTAACTTCTTTGAGGGGCATTTAGAAGTTGGAATGGTAACTAAGACAAAATTGTTATGGATGAGCAACTTCTTTATTACAATTGGGCGATTCAGTTGGTTGATGGCTGAGATTGCCACGTCTCCGTGAAGACGACGTATAACTTCTTTGAGTGGCATTTAGAAGTTGGAATGGTAACTAAGACAAAATTGTTATGGATGAGCAACTTCCCAATTGTAATAAAGAAGTTGCTCATCCATAACAATTTTGTCTTAGTTACACATATGCTTAGCAGCTGATTCTGTTACATGTATGACGTTTGCAATTTATAAGTATTCTTTTCTATGACATAAGCTATAAAGTTGTTCCTGTTCACCTTTATTCTCGGCTTGATGTATATCTAAACTCGGAACATCTGTCTTCCTCTGGCGACTACCCAGTGGGGATTCCGGATCTGATTAGGTGCTCAATATAGAATAACTCCATGCATCTACGTATCAATTACATAAGGGACCGTGTGGTCAGGCTCTGCGTGTCATAGTTGCTCACGCTTTCATTCACTGGTTTGCCTGGCTTTCACTTCATTACTTACAGGCCGTCTGGATACAACTGGACTAGTGCTGGCGGTAAACAATATTCACTCACTCACTCACTCACTGTATGACTTTGTGAGGCTGACGTACTACTTTATTTCTCCCCTTAGCGACAACTCGTTTAATTTCTTGAATAGAATGTTAAAATATCGGGAAAATTATATGCATTTGAAAACGACATGTGGACTATTTAAGGGTTTAACGCCGCTTTGAATAACGTTTTTGCTACCGTATAGACTATATCATGACAAGCCAGCTTGATGTAAAGGGAAGTTCAAAATGACGCATGCCGTTGATGTGCGTGCGTGCGTGCGTGCATGTGTGTGTATGTATCTAGCCTGGTGGTTTAAAGCATTTACTCATCACGATCAACCAGCTCATTGCATCAAGAATGCAGTTCCGCGAAACCGCTCGCTGAGTCACTTTACGGACAAGAGACATACCTCTTCTTTCCGCTTCCGCGAACTATTATATAATTACTCATTTCAAAAGTGCAACAATGACTCATTTCCGCATTCTTGCTCAATGAGAAAAAAATAGAACACTTTATACTTTAATTCCGATATCTCATGTAAACACTCATATAAATAGAAAACATACAGTTCAAATACTAGTAGTTACTCACAACCACAGGTCTATGCTGAAGGAATAAAAAAATTAAGGCAACAGACACATAAGATGTGACTCTTATGACATGTATTTATAGATCGACTCATCACATGACATTCGTAGGCAGGTTTAAGGTGTTTGTTTAACAGTGCGGGTTTTATCTCACGAAGCTTACTTTGGGTTCACCTTCCTGGTTACGTGGGCATGGCGTTGTGTTGTATCTCTAACCCTTGCTTGCATCGTGTTTGAGTTTACCCTGGTTTGTTTCAGGTATGTACGAGTTATATGTTTATTGTTGTGTAATATATGTTATTAGCACAGGTAACTGTTAAACTTCGAGTCACCTGAGTCAACCCATGTTACCACGTGTCTGGCAACCAGGGTTGTAACTTGATTCAATCTAAGTTCACCAGTGTTAACCAGGGATAACCTGGGGCGGTATCCCAAATAAAACGCATAAAATGCAACCTTAGATATAATACAAAATGGCGGACAGGAGAGGGAGAAACACAACAGCCATGTGTTTCGCTATATCTACGTGAAGCTAACAAGTATATAATTTCTTGACAAAGCTGCCATTGCAACTTTTCTATTTAATGCATGTAAAACGACAAAAAGTTCAAAATGACGCGAAGAACTTGAAACAAAGCTACAAAATGATCATCAAAGTTTCATTATTAATTCTAAAGTTAAATATCCCTGATGCATATCCTAATACTCATATACTTCCAATAACTAGTTGGGGCACGGGTGGCCCAGTCGTCTAAGGCGCCGCGATTCGCTTTGCAGAGTTGCGTCCATCGGGCACACCAGAAACCTATGATTGTGGGTTCGAATCCCGGTTCGCCCCGATTATGTTTCTAGGTTTGTCAGCACCATACCCGTGCTCGTGGGTTTCACCGAAGTGGTAAACGTCTGAGACCTGCATCACTTCGGGCTTTCCTCCCACATTAAGCTGACACGCCGTGATATAACTTGAATAATGTTAAAAGCGGCGTTAAACCCAATTCACTCACTCCAATAACTAGTAAAATAAATTCATTAAAATGCCTTTCTTCATGATTGAATCAATAAATGAAACGAAACAGCTTTAACGATGACGTCATCTGATTATGACGGAGTACCGCACCTTCAGGGGTTCAGTAGGTATGGGCATCATAGGCTAACCTAAATATGGCGTAACTCAGTTAACGTGCTAACATTGGTCAACCAAGGTTAACTTGGAATTTACCATGGTCAACGCGGGTTCACATGGGTCGAACGCAAGCCTTGTCAAACTTGACAACGTTTTTATATAGCTGAGGTCCTGTGAGCACATCTAAAACATTAGAAAAGCTCACACTTATAAAGGGTGAAGTAAAAGTGAAAACATAGGATACAAATTAAAGTATTCTAAATATTACATGCTTTATTTAAGACTTGTATTAACTGATAAGAAGGATTGGGAGGGGAGGAAAAGCAGTGAGATTTCGGGGCATGTTTAGATCATGCGAGTATCTGCTGCGATGAACAGACTGTGGGTTTAATAAGGCTGCTTGAAAATCACATTTTACTTAATCTTTTTAACATAAACAGTATGTTAGAGTTTCTTTGGAACGAGAACAAATACCAGTTACATGGTGTGAGCATGGTACCTTGTTGAGCAAAACCTTTATAACACAACACGTCATATTCTGGAATTACTGACATCTTCAATTGTTTAAAAGATATCTTGAAGTGAAGATATCGTGAATTGAATGGAAGATATCTTTAATACAGATACTTGTAGATATCTGCAATAATATATAAGATATCACGAAATGAATTAAGGATATGATGAAGCTTATAACTGATATCTTCAAAAGAATCCTGATATCTTAAATTCGATTAATAACAAAATATCAAGAAAGTCATGTTTGGTTATGATATCAGTGATTCAATTTAAGGTATCTTGAAACGTCATTATTAAATACTTCCGCTTATTTATATATATTTTCAAATACTTCCGTCTGTTAAGTATTGAGGGTAATGTTTCTGACTATGGTGGAAAATTTCTTCTCACCTCGGAGACCTTGTTTACAAATTGATCACTGCTGTCATAGTCAGTCCCCTCAACTCATCCGCGAATTCCGTGGCGTGCTGTTGAGACTAGTTCCTGCACAAGTTGGGCGTGGTTTGGAACCGGGAGAATCTACGGATATGTAGGCAGACCGGAAGTATTTAAAGATATCTGTAAATCATTTCCCGTACTTTTGGGATAATATATATAATATATAGCTACATAATAATAATTATTTTGTTGTTCCTTCATGTTACTTAAATGATATTATATTAGCATACAATTTTTTTTTGTTCAACAGTCTGAAGCATAATCAATTCTTTCAAACATTTCCTGTTGTTTTCAAACCTGTTCAGATCTCAATATTTTGTTGATTAATTAATTGGTAATATGTTCTTATTTTCTGAGTATCTAAGTTGATACTTGATGGCTCGTGTTGAATGCATCGAGTACAGGTTCATCTCTACCACCATTGTCATTTTTCAAACTACAGTAAACTACGGTTATAACGAACACGCTTATAACGAACTGACGGATATAACGAACTAACTTTTTAGTCCCGACTATTTGCTGTAGTTATGCTATATATTTGCTTATAACGAACTAGGGTTATAACGAACTAAAAATAGAAGTACCTTTGAGTTCGTTATAACCGTAGTTTACTGTATTTCTAGGTATTTATCAACTCGTCCACACTGGGCAACGATCTCTAATGTCAAGCACAAACACAACCTTCAGCGACCACGACGTCAACGTCCACCTACGTCGTTATGATGACCTCTACGCCAACAAGTATCTACCAGCTATTGTGTTGGTGTCGGTGTTGATGGCAACAGGCATAATCGGCAACTCTCTGGTCTGTTTTGTGTATCTGGTCAAGTTCAAGTCGAGTACCGTCCGCTGTTTCATTGTGTCCCTTGCGGTCATTGATCTTATTAACTGCGTGATAAGTTGTCCATTTGACATAGCGGATATGCGTTATCGCTACACATTTGGGTCTTACGTCGTCATGTGTAAAATGATGCGTGTGTTTGTAACGTTTACGTCAGTGTCTTCAGGTTTAGTTCTCATACCTGTAGCCGTGGACAGATATAAGAAAATATGTCGGCCATTACAGAAACAGATGGACATCCGCTCTGCCAAGCTGGCCATAGGTGCCTGTTGTACACTCGGGGTTGTGGTGGGGGTTCCTGCAAGTGTGTTCTACGGACCACGGACCGTTACCACTGACATTGCATCAATTAATGGATCAGATTGCAGTACACCTGACATTTATGTTGGGACTCCATATCCACTGATTTATAATGGATTCAATTTAACAATTTTTCTGACAACGACGGTATCACTGAGTGTGTTGTATTCGCTTATATGGTGTCAGATACGAAAACAGCGGAATTACAGGAAGGCCTTGCAGGCAAAATCTGTAAAATGTCGTCATTCGAGTTCATGTGTTGCAACTGATACTGAGTCTGTGACGCAATCTCGACGGAAACAGGCTGAAACAGCACCTTATGAGGACAATGCGTCTTTTGGTGGCGAACGGGAGCCCCCTTCCTCATTGACTGAACGTGTCACTGACGGTCACATCGAATACGTATCCTCACAATCAGCCGAGGAAACGGCCAGCCAAATGTCATCTAAGAAGGAAGTCCCGACACACGATACCGCGAAGTCACAACGCGTACACAAGACATCACCCCCTGGACTTGCGAAGAGCGAGGCAGCGATAAAGAAGACAACGTTGATGTTGTTTTTGATAACGCTGACATTTGTACTAAGCTTCCTGCCTCATCTTAGTCTCATGGCTGCCAGAGCGGTCAACAAGGAATTCTTTGATAAAGTTGACACGCCACAGTTCGGGGCTTTCTATTTCTTTTTCAAGTCCTACTTCATTAACAGTGCATTCAACCCCATCATCTACAGCTTCTTCAACCCCCTGTTTCGCAGGGAACTCGTGGCTGTTGTGAAGAGGTTTAGGTGCAAACGATAAACACTTTCCGGGTTTTCCTCTCACATCAAGCTGCCACGCCTTTACATAACTGGAATACTGTTAAAAGAATCACTCGCTCACATCACATCGTAGGTTTTCGTACACGTTGCGTTTATATTCTATGTTGACCTCCGACCCAGCACGTTCCTTCGGTCGTAAGAGGCGCTCAAATATATCGGGATTCATGCTCAGTGATTTGGTTGATTGCGTGTCAGCCTACCCCGACGGCATGGATCGTTGCTCATCATATCAATCACTGGATTGCCTCACCCAGGCTCGATTATTTACAGGCCACCGTCATATAGCTGGAAATTTGCTGCGTTTGGCGTTAAGCAACAAAGAAAAAAATACAAGCAAACAAACAGAAAATTGTAAACAATAAGCACAGTGTACGTTTTCATATCATATGTAGCTTTTACGTCTCATGGGTTTATAGTATTTGTTGAACAGTTATGATGCAAATGATACACTCTTTACGTTGTAACTATTTATATCTCATGTTGCGTTTATAGTATTTGTTGAACAGTTAAGATGCAAATGACGAACACTTCACATTGTAACTTTATATATCTCATGTCGCATTTATCGTATTTGTTGAACAGTTATGATGCAAATGATACACTCTTTACGTTGTAACTATTTATATCTCATGTTGCGTTTATAGTATTTGTTGAACAGTTAAGATGCAAATGACGAACACTTCACATTGTAACTTTATATATCTCATGTCGCATTTATCGTATTTGTTGAACAGTTATGATGCAAATGATACACTCTTTACGTTGTAACTATTTATATCTCATGTTGCGTTTATAGTATTTGTTGAACAGTTTAGATGCAAATGACGAATACTTCACATTGTAACTTTTCATATCTCATGATGCGTTTATAGTTTTTTGACAGTGTGCCCGCCTCAATGACACGTGACCAATTCAACTAATCAGAATGCAGGAATTTGCGTTTATAGTATCTGTTGTTAACTTTTTCACTGTGAATAATTTAGCTGCGTACAATATACAAATAAAAGTGCAGTGTTGAGGAACATTGTATACTGTTTATACAACCTAAATATGATCGTTTCACTTTTCCTGCTAAGAATGAGATCATTTGAAGGTGTTGCTTGGCAACCATGCTATTTGTGAACACTTGTGATAGACTGTCACCAGGATGTAAAACTTAGACATGGCTATGTCTTGTGCTTACACGCTGAATCATGTGCTTACACGCCTTGTGATTTTGTGTCATTAATTTTGTATTCACCTGCATGATGTATAGCATTACACTTCCGAATGTAAATTGCAACAAGGAAATAAAGATCCTCAACCACGAAATAATCGATTTCGTGCCAGTTATTTGGTAAGAAACTTCACTTGGATTTAGGAACGTGCCCAGATTCAGTGGTCGTAGGTTCGAGTCCCATTGTCGACCGATTATGATGGTTAACAATACCAGTGTGCGTGTGTTCTATGAAACATGGAAACATCTAGGTCGTGCATCCCTGCAGGTCTACCCCCACACTAAGCCGCCACGCCGTGATATTAAGGAAGTACGGTTCATGTGGCATTAAATCAAAATTCACTCACTCATACAACTTCGAGTTTTAGCAGATGGTACAACTCAGTCACTTATTCTCATATTTATTCCTGTTTCGATTGTATTAAACGATAGAAGGATTAACTTAAATTGAATTAGTTCAACAGAATGTGATGCACTCAACGCCAAAGTAACTGTGGTCATTATACAGTCATTGCTAACTGAACATGAATATTAACATTGCCGTTAATGATGAAATGTACCGTATAACAGTTTGGACAACATTCTTACTGTACACCCAACAGTTCACGTGTTGATACATTCCTTGAGATTAGCATTCATGCCTTCTGGGATCAAAAGTGGAAGAGTGGGTCTGGTTTTACGCCGCTTTTAGCAATATTCCAGCAGCGGGGGACACCAGAATGGGCTTCACCGTTGGGTTCCAAACGAAAGCATCAACGATAATTTTCTGTCCTTTCAAAATGCAGTAATTCTCTTCTGGGGAATTTCACACTATAAGCTGTACTAAAGATTATTCTTTGGCAGAAGTATTAGAAGTATTAAGTTTGATATTTTTAATGTGTTTACATTTTTGTGAAAGATCGTTTTTCGATTCCCTACAGTGCCAACTAAACCCTATTAAAACAGTGCATTTGTTTCTTCACAGAAAAAGACAGGAGTTAACGTTTCTATACTTCTATGCTACTACCGGGTTGGAGACACCATGCCACAGTTTAACATGGCTAGAGACAAAGCATACTGATTTCGAGACAAAGAATACTGACTTCGAGACAAAGAATACTGACTTCGAGACAAAGAAGACTGACTTCGAGGAGAGTAGTCCTTGCTCCACCCCTTAATGCTGAGCGCTAGGCAGGGTACCTACGAGTACAAGTGTCATCTTTTTGACATATTGTATGGCGCGGTCTCCGACCTTCCGCTTTCCGGGCATCCCTTACAGAATCCATAACACCAAGGAAGAGGTCCTGTAGGTCAGACATGAACACAAATGGTGGTGGAACTAAAATCAAGGTATAATTGTTTAAAATAATAATTAACAGTACATGTTTTACTCAAAAAGATACAAGAACGTGTGGTTAGTCTACACAGAGTGTTATCCCCCCCCCCCCCCCCCCCCCCGATATCCTTTGAAGTTTAAATTTCTTGTATTTAGGATAGATGACCTATTTAAATATTTTACATATTTCTTTCGAATTTGTTATCAGAATGTATGCAGCGTAAAGAACAAAGGGTTATCATATGTTGACAACAAGAACCAGAGTAGTTGAAGTCAGAGTACATGGCTAATCTCCAATACCTAATCCCAGGACAGTAATACTCGGTGTCCTCCCATTAGTTAGACGTCCCAATAGGTAGACAGCTTATAACAACACTTTAAACGGTTGAGATCACACTAATCCTTATGCCTGTTACCTCAGACTTTAAAATGGAATAGTCCAGATAAGATCTGACAAACAAAGCAAAGTAGCTTTAAATAGATACTTTAATATTATACTTAACATTTAATGACACTTTACATTTGATAAATTTTATACAGTTTCTAACAACACTTTGTGACAGTTTCTGGTAATGTACACTTTACATTATATAACTGTTACAGTGTATTTATCCCAGACGAAGCAAGTGTCCACAGGCATCTGAATACTCAATAGCAGACTTGTCACCCTGCTGCACCCGTCTGTCTTCAGTTGTTGAAAAAGCCGGCCATAGGTTGTTGCTTGACGATCTGGCAAAAGGGCGAACACTAGAGGGAAGGTGTTGGGACCAACTCTGGCATGAATGATGTATACTTGATCCCATTGTGCACTCAACCGTAGTAATTGTTGTTTCAGCGCGTCTGCGTTTTTTCCTTTTGGGAGTGAAACCTTGAAATAGTAATCAAAGGATCGCGAAATAGTAATTAATGAACCATGGCCAAATAGTAATTCAAGGGTCATGACTCTATTAGTAAAATGAGGCCTGCTTTTGTGAGTAAGCCTCGAAATAGTAATCAAAGGATCACGAAATGGTAATTAGTGGTGAAATGAAAGGACCATTGCTAAATAGTAATTAATGGATAATAACCAATTGGAAATTAAATGATTATGGTTAAATACTAATTACAAAATCACAATTAGTAATTAAAGGATCATGGCTAAATAATAATTAATGGATCCCGGCCAAAGGATAATGAAAGGATCGCGAAACAATAATTAAAGGACCATGGTTAAATGGTAATTAAAGGAGCAAGGCTCAATAACATTTAAAGGATAATGGCTCAATTACTTAAAGGATCACGAGCCAGTTATTTACTTGAAATGATCATGACTAAATAGTAATTAATAGATCTTGCCAAATAATAATTACAGGATCACGACACAATAATTTAAGGACCATGGTTAAATGGTAATTAAAGGATCGTGGCTCCATAATAATTAAAGAAAAATGTCTCAAAAGTAATTAAAGGACCGTGGCTCCATAATAATTAAAGAATAATGTCTCAAAAGTCAGTAAAGGATCGTGGCTCCATAATAATTAAAGAATAATGTCTCAAAAGTCAGTAAAGGATCGTGGCTCTATAATAATTAAAGAAAAATGTCTCAATAGTAATGTAAGGATCGTGGCTCTATAATAATTAAAGAAAAATGTCTCAATAGTAATGTAAGGATCGTGGCTCCATAATAATTAAAGAATAATGTCTCAATAGTAATTAAAGGATCGCGGCTGCATAATAATTAAAGAATAATGTCTCAATAGTAATGTAAGGATCGTGGCTCCATAATAAATAAAGAATACTGTCTCAATAGTAATTAAAGGATCGTGGTTCAATATTAATTTAAGGATCATGGATATAAGGGAGTATTATTGAAAGTGACTTGCTGCACTATCCCTCGGTTGATCTAATATGTGTTTGCTCATTTTGTCTGTTTATGATTCATTTCAACCCCACGGTCGCTATACCACGAGCTTATAATACGTCACTTCAACGTGGGGCGGTCGGGTAGCCTAGTGGTTGAAGCGTTCGCTCGTCACGCTGAAGACCCGGGTTCGATTCCCGACATGGGTACAATGTGTGAAGCCCATTTCAGGTGTCCCCCGCCGTGATATTGCTGGAATATTTCTAAAGGCGGCGTAAAACCCAAACTCACTCACTCACTTCAACGTGATTGTTTCCATAGATCCTTTGAAATATGTACTGAATACGAGGATACATTGATGTGGTTGTTAATGGAAAACAGGAAGTTGAATTTGTGTTACACGCACCTGTTTAGTATGTAATCCAAATTTAGTATTTGCAATATCACGAAGTAATTATTTCTTATACACCGAATTTCCCAAAACGTCTCACTAATTATGAAAACCTTAAAACGCAGTGAAATGCATGACTTGGAGCTGTATCTGATGCATCATCTGGAGCATTATCTGATGCATCATCTGGAGCATTACCTGATGCATAATGTGGAGCATTATCTGATGCATCATTTGGAGCATTATCTGAAGCATCATCTGGAGCATCATCTGATGCATTATGTGGATCATTATCAGATGCATCATGTGGAGCATTATCTGATGCATCATGTGGAGCATTACCTGATGCATCATCTGGAACATTATCTAATGCATTATGTGGATCATTATCAGATGCATCATGTGGAGCATTATCTGATGCATCATGTGGAGCATTATCTGATGCATCATCTGGAGCATTACCTGATGCATCATGTGGATCATTATCAGATGCATCATGTGGAGCATTATCTGATGCATCATCTGGAGCATTACCTGATGCATCATGTGGAGCATTATCTGATGCATCATCTGGAGCATTACCTGATGCATCATGTGGAGCATTACCTGATGCATCATTTGGAGCATTATCTGATGCATCATGTGGAGCATTATCTAATGCATTATGTGGATCATTATCAGATGCATCATGTGGAGCATTATCTGATGCATCATCTGGAGCATTATCTGATGCATCATCTGGAGCATTACCTGATGCATCATGTGGAGCATTACCTGATGCATCATTTGGAGCATTATCTGATGCATCATGTGGAGCATTATCTAATGCATTATGTGGATCATTATCAGATGCATCATGTGGAGCATTATCTGATGCATCATCTGGAGCATTACCTGATGCATTATGTGGAGCATTACCTGATGCAACATCTGGAACATTATCTAATGCATTATGTGGATCATTATCAGATGCATCATGTGGAGCATTATCTGATGCATCATCTGGAGCATTACCTGATGCATCATGTGGATCATGATCAGATGCATCATGTGGAGCATTATCTGATGCATCATCTGGAGCATTACCTGATGCATTATCTGGAACATTATCTGATGCATTATGGGGATCATTATCTGATGCATCATGTGGAGCATTACCTGATTCATCATCTGGAGCATTACCTGATGCATCATGTGGAGCATTATCTGATGCATCATCTGGAGCATTATCTGATGCATCATCTGGAGCATTATCTAATGCATTATGTGGATCATTACCTGATGCATCATGTGGAGCATTATCTGATGCATCATGTGGAGCATTATCTGATGCATCATGTGGAGCATTATCTGATGCATCATGTGGAGCATTACCTGAAGCAACATCTGGAACATTATCTGATGCATCATGTGGAGCATTACCTGATGCAACATCTGGAACATTATCTGATGCATCATGTGGAGCATTACCTGATGCAACATCTGGAACATTATCTAATGCATTATGTGGATCATTATCAGATGCATCATGTGGAGCATTATCTGATGCATCATGTGGAGCATTATC